ATATATATATATATATATATATATATATATATATATATTGATAAGGAGCATTCCAGCGTAGTAATTGGTTCAAGTAAACTACAAGTTCATCCCTACAAGCCTGTTTCGTGGTCGCCCACTCATCAGGGGATTTAATGAGATGGATTCAATATATATATATACATTTAAACAATAGAGTGTTTCTGTCGAGGAACTATCGGCTGATAGTTGTCCCGCGGAAATTTGATGTTCTTAAAACAAATATTTGCCCGAGAAGCGGCTAACTATGGGCGTATTCACGCATAAGTGATCATTCTATTAAATGACAGACTAAATCAAGAGTGCCACCTACAGAAACGCGTCAAAAAGTATTAGCGTTTTAGCCCATGGCTATGGTTAAACTTTACAACAGATTTTTTAGTAGGCAACGTAATCATTAAGTGGCCTGTGGATTAGTGTGGTTAACTCTATTTCAGCTACTGATGTATTTTTTATATATTATCCTTTGTCATATCAAATCGCCGGAAAGCCTGCGGGCTGTCTAAATTAGTAGAAGGAAATTCGAAGTTACCCAGTTCATCATAATGCACGATTAAAACATTCAGCTCGACATCTAAACAAAAAGTGGTTTTCTTCATAAATGGCATAGGTTTTAAGACTATTTTTATTTTTTTACAGTGAAAAATAAAAGTAGGTAATTGTCAAAGGGACACTTTTTTAAATATGAAGATGGGAACGCATAAGAGAAAACAACAAACCATGTCCAGACAGTGATACTTTATACTGACACTTCTTTTTGTAAAATCATTTACTCCAAAATAGAACTCGTAATCTACCATTAAAACAATAAATCGTACGGAGCCAGATAAACAAACTTATGCAATCAGAAAAGTGTTAATTTGTGGGGGCAGTTCTTATTGTATTTTCTATCTTTTGTTTTAATGTGTTGACATGTTGCTGCAAAATATCGCCAATGACGGCTTTTAGGACAAAGGTATAAAGTTATTCACATATACTGACTATAAAGAAACAAAATGATTGTAATAAGTTAACGTTTTTTAAATTGAATTGTTCCACCTGCGAATAATTCTAGACTGTACAAAACAAAAATCTTTCTGACTAAGCGCCCAATTCAAACCAAAACTATAATCATGGACGAAAAGTTAGTGATTAGCTAACTACTTTACCCCCTAAAAGACGAAATAAAAGAACAAAGCTAGATAAAGAATGACTATATTTATAAAGGCACTCCAAAAGTTCAAAAGGTGGAAATTTCAAATTTAAACAGTGAAAAATTTACGAGTTACCTACTTCCAAAAATGCACGGACAAAAAAACCAATTTCCAGCAGCTGCTGTTTCCTACGACGTTTTCAAGTAAACAGTTTTGTAAATAGAAGTCTAGACAAACTACTGTGATCGATGCAATTATTTAAAAAAAAAAAACCTTTAGGATAGATGCCTACTACACCTTCTACTGTTCATTACAAGAAAATACGCATTCATTTGCGCTAACCTTCGAGTCATTTACACTATCTTGAAAGTCAATAGAATGTATGAATAAGACAATCATTTATGCGCTTGTACAAACAATTGAGCGTTTTTTACTTTTAATATTCACACATCGAATTTCAATAGAAAAAACCTATTCCAAAATTATTTCGTTTTGAATTTCAGTTTACCCTTCAATGATCTCTCTATTCAAACGTTTTGGCAGCCGCGGTCACGTGTCGATGTTTCTGTGCAGAGCTTCGAGCAGTTGTTGCGTTCGAAACTCCCCCACTGGGATTCCCTTGGCTCTGGCCTCATTCCCGTTATCCATGCGTCTTTGAATTTCCGGATGCGAGATGTCAGCTTGACGCCGCTTTCAAACAGCTTATTGCCTGCTCCACGATGTTTAGGAAACGACTCTGGGCACAGGCGGCCCAAGCTCTCTTTGAGAACCACACAAAGAACATAATTTGCATATCGATTTGTAAGGATTTGTATGGTATTTTCTACAAGATATCCATAGG